CGGTGCCCCCACCCCGCAGCACCCTGCGAAGGGCCGGGGAGATGCCGCCGCGTTCGTCAGCTCCCTCCCTTCTGCAGAGCTCTGCCTGCTCCAGATGCTCCTCGGAAACCCCTTCCCAGCGCGGGGAGGGAGAGCTGAGCCGCTCAGCTGCCACCAGCTGCTCGGGTGGCACTCCCAAACATTTCCCTCTCGAATTTGCCGGAGTGATTCGGCACTAAATGGTGTGCTTGATGATAGTCATCACCGGAGGAAGGTAGCTGGGGAGCAGGTTTGTCTTTGGGTGATTTCAGAACAAAACGTGTTAGAAACACCCTGGAAACATCTTTGCAGTGATTCAATCCCAGGTCGGGAAGCCAAATTCTGCCCGAGTGGGAGCTGGGGGGAAGTCATTAGCATTGTACATAGCCCATTTAGCATCCCTGGATCCCGTGCTCCAAATAATTCATCCCAAATAAAATTTAATTCATTCTATTTATTAATAATTAGATCTGAGACATCCCACCGCACGGGATGTGTGCATGCTGTGCCAGGGAGGCACATTTTCAGGACAGAACCTGGGGAAGAAGAAATGACCTGAGGCAGGTCGGGGTCCAGGACAGGCACTTGCCCCGTGTTTCCGACACACCACGAGGCACCCATGAGGACCGAGGGCTGCTTTTCCCTGCAGTGAGGACCAGAGACCCACTGGTTGGCTCCTCCTGGGTTAAAAGCGTGGGCTGGGATGAACCCAGGCATGCTCTGACCCTGCTCTGCCTGGGGGCTGCTCAGCCCAGCTCAGCAGTGTGAGGACCGGGCTTTTCCAGGCACCGTTCAGGGCTTAAGGACCTTCGGGGCAGGCAGGGAGTTACTTGACAGGGTCAGGGTCATTTCTCCAGAGGAGATCTCTCTTCTTCCAGCAGAAGGTCAGAGGATGCCAAGCACTGCGGGTGGCTCTGTGCGCCGTACCAGCAGCCCTCGAAGCCGGGCACATCCCCGCCTCGTGCGCCGAGTGGGGGAGATGGGCACAGTTGTGACAACAGCCACAAATCCTTCTAGTCACAACATCGTCGGGAGTGCTCGCAATTACGGGCTAAGGCTGTGGTGTGTGCTAAATATAGAGCCCTGGTCCTCACACACTTAAGGAAACAAACGAACTGATGAGCATCTTTCTGCTGAAATATGAGCCCATTTATTAAAGCTAAATGGACATGAAATGCAAATATGAGGTTACTTTTCAGCTATTTCCAAATAATAATTAAAGCCTTTTGGGGATTCCTCATTAGATGCATTTGCCGTGCGACTCCCCATCCACTCCCCGGTGTGGATGAGGGTTGCCGGGGAGGATCCCCGGTGCACGGGGCGGACAGTGAGCACCAAGCCGTACAAAATCCCCTGGTTTGGTTGCAAGCCTGTGCTGAACAGCGCAGCTGTGGCTGAGACCAGTGACCCTTGGCCGCGGCCATGCTCACGGTGCCCTGAGACGCGGGTCTGCCCCAAGGGCTGATGCGGGCAGAGTTGGGGACCACCACTACCCTAACCAGGGACTTAAGGGACCCCTTCATCTTCCTCCTGTCTCACCCTCGCCGCCTCTACCCGCTTGCCCCGATCCCCAGTTTCAGCAGGGAAGTAGACATGGGTCAACTTGTGCCAGAGGAGCATCCAGCTTTGAAACGCGTCTCAGGTGAGCAGTGCCAGCTGCCCTGCGCCTGCTGTCCCGGGGAAGGGAGAAGGGGTCGGCTGTCACGAGGGTCCCTTGGGCTCGTGCAGGGCGCAGACTGCTCCATGGCCTCTGAACAAGCAGCTCCTCCTGTCTGCAACGAGCCCGCAGTGCTCGGAGCGGTGCAGAGGGAAGGCTGCGGTGGTGCACCGCTCTGTGGCTGCCGGTGCTGCGTGTTTTTGGTGCTGGGACACGACTGTTCACCCAGCGCCCCGCAGGACCCCCGCCTTCGCCCCCACAGCTCACGGTCTCTGCTCCCCCCCCAGGTGAAGAGTGTGAACCTGTCTGACGGGGAGGTGCTCTCCATCCGCGGGGTGGACGGCGATGCCCTGGTGGTCCTGGCCAACCAGACCCTGCTGGTGGAGGGCCAGGTGATCCGCAGTCCCACCAACACCATCTCCGTCTACTTCCGCACCTTCCAGGACGAGGTGGTGGGGACCTTCCAGCTCCACTACCAGGGTGGGTGCCTCCCCACCGCGGGCGCGCAAGGAGGGGTGGGACGGGGCTCAGCCCCGCTGGGCTGCGGGGGTGGAAGGACGCCGGGCTCTGCCCTTGCAGGTGAGCCAGGCTCCTGTTTCACTGCTTGCCCATGCTCAGAGCATCAGGGCAGGGGCGAGTGGCAGCTCACGTCATGCCCCGGGCAGAGGGTTCAACGTGCACCGATGTCCCGGACCCCAGGGGTAGCTGTGCTCCTCACACCCACCTTGCCCTGTTTCTGTCCCTGTGCAGCAGCTCTTCCCACACAGACTTAGACTGCAAGTCTATTTTTTTCCTTGAAGAGCTATAAAAAATAGATGAGTTCAAGAAAATTATTTTTAAAATAGAAACTGGGTCTGAGCAAAAGCAGAAACAGGTGGAGAAATGACAGCAGGGTGGTTTGTCGGTGCTCTGCGGCTGGCACCCAGCAAGGTCTGTCCGTGGCTCCATGGGCACATCCAGCATGTCCCCAGCGCTGCCCTCCCCGACTGCGGGGTGGCTCAGAGCAGACAAGCTGTAAGCTCCGAAATGTGTGTGCTTGTTCCAGTGTTTATGCTGAGCTGCAACTTTCCACGGAGACCTGACTTCGGAGATGTCACCGTGATGGATTTGCACTCGGGTGGAATTGCTCATTTTCACTGTCACCTGGGCTACGAGCTGCAGGGTCCCAGGGTGCTTACGTGCATCAACGCATCGAGGCCGCACTGGAGCAGCCCAGAGCCAATCTGCTCAGGTACGCTCCTCGTTAGTTAGTGTCAGTGCTAAGAAAAACTGGGATCCCCAAAGAAAAGGAATTAGAGTTGCGTTCTTTGGGCCATGAGTTGAACGTGGTCCTGGGAGAGAGTGAAAGCGATGCCCTGCTCTGCGCACAGTGCGACCCGAGGTACTGCGGGTTTTCACATCAGTGGCAGCACAATCTGCCTCCTCGCTAGGCAGGTAAGGGAAAGGAAATTACAGACTTTATGTGTGCATGTGAGCAGATATGTGTCTGCATAAAGCAAAGCCAAGCCAGGCAAGAGGTTCATGCATTAAAGACTGCTGAGAAGGGCTGGGCAGGCATCGGTGGAGGGGCTCATCCCTTTGCTGTGCAGAAGCCCGGGGTGCAAATGCCTGCCCGTACCCTCTGCCGTGCCCTGTCCCCTTGCCCGTCTCAGCGGGGCTGTGCTCTGTGTCGGCAGCGCCCTGCGGCGGGACGGTCCACAATGCCACCATCGGCCGCGTCCTCTCACCCAGCTACACAGGGAACCAGTCGAGCAGCATGTACTGCGTGTGGGCGATCGGGGCCCCCCCGGGCCAGAAGCTGCACCTCCACTTCGAGAAGCTCCTGCTGACCGAGAAGGACAGGTGAGGCTCCGGGAGCCGCCCGGGTGCCGCTGGCCGGCGGCGAGGTCTGCGGTGAGCCCCGGGACTGCGGAGAGCTTTGCTCTGCCCAGGGTGAGGAGCGGGGAGCTTCGCTGGGCACTAAATATGCCAAGGCTTGGAAGGTCCAAGCCGGTCGCAGCTCCCCCGCCTCACACCTCCTGCCTTCCCGGTGCCCGGGCTGCAGGCATCCCGGGAGGCAGCACCAACCCGAGCTCGGGGTGCAGCACGGAGGAGGCTGCCAGAGGGCAGATGGGGGGAGGAGGTAAGAGAAGGGTGCTGGCGGAGAGGAAGAGGTTCCTGATTTAGGTGTCTGAGTGCTCAGGAGGCCAGACAGGTCTTTGAGCAAAAGAGCTAAAGAGGCAGGCGCAGAGCACCAGCCCCGGCTATCCCAACACTTCGTGCCGGGGGATCTTGCCGGTCTCCTGATGCCGCTAGCTGCGGGGTGATGCAGTGTGCTGCGTCACGGCCGTCCTCGCCTCCTCCCAAATACCCAGCGCCCAGCACCGCTCATCACCACGGCGCAAGAAGCTGCAAGTCCCCCGCTATCAGCATCCGTAACATGAAGCACACGCTTTACGGTGCTGATGCTCGTGTTTAAAAAGCATTAACATTCAGTCTGGTAACAGGCAGTAAAGCAGGTTTATGGCTTGTAGTGAAATCAAAGAATAAAGCCCCTGTTTATGACACGGTAAAAGAGACTTATCTGGTTGGTGATTTTTTTTTGCACAATTTCATTAAAATGCCATATTCCAGCAGCGCTGGAGAGCGGCGCTGGCGAGGAGGGGTCTGGGCGGTGCGCCAGGCAGGGCGCAGGGACACTTCTCCCATGTAACATGCCATGTCCTCCCGTGCAGGATGGTGGTGTACAGCGGGGACACGAACCAGTCCGCCACCCTCTACGACTCGCTGCGCGCTGACAGCGTGCCGTTCGAAGGGGTGATCAGCGATGGCTCCTCCATCAGGATCGAATTCCTCGCAGAGGAGCCCACGGCCGCCACGGCTTTCAACATACGCTTCGAAGGTGATGTGCTCTCATTTCGGTACCCCTGAGAGCGGCAGGCCGGCCTCAGCCAATGCTCCCGGGCCTCAGGTCATTTGGGTGATTAACAGAGATACTGTAAGAAGGGTCCCGGCTGCCCCCGGCACCGGCAGACCCGGTGCTCCGCCATGCCACTGTCCCCGTGTCGCTGTAGGCATGCAGGGCAACCCGAACCTCACCTGGTGCTGGAGTAGCTTTGGGGAAAACATTTGCCTAGAAAGAAATGGGAAAAACAGCAGTGAAATCGCATTTACTCCAACAGAAATGTTCATTGGAGAGCTGAGTGTCCACGGGACATGTCTCCTGTGCCTGCCGTGGGGCAGCCCTGGGGCATCGGGTGCTGTGTCCAGGATGGGGCCCCTCCAAACCTGGGCTGAAAAGGCCATTGGTGTCATGGGAATCGCACAGCCTGCAGTGACCGTCACCACCAAAGGCCCAGTATGTCCCCTTCCCTCAGTCCCTGTAGCGCAGCACCGCTGGGTC